AATGATATTATAACACTAGTTGATACACTAATATATATACTAATTGATATATATAACACCTCCGTGACCAAAATTTTAAAAGACAAAATTATTATTTTACTATATGTCCTGCACAACCCACAACCCACGTATCTCATCTCAACTATGTGGGTGTTTGGAAAATGAGTTTTTTTTTGTACTGATGCTAAGAGGAACGAAAAATGAGGGAGACCATTAGAGAGAAGAGTATTAATAATTTTAAAATGGTATGGCCTTACATAATGAAATATTTTGCTCTTATATTTTTTTTAGTTTTTTATTTTTATAAATTTTTACCTGATTAGTGATTAATTATTATTTCTAAATTAGTGGGATGAATCTTATTGAAAAAGAACACATCCTTTTTTCAATCAAAAAAGCCAATGTTGTGACGTGGAACTGTTTGCGTGGCACAGGCAAGCACTGTTTGGGAAGCATGGTTGGTTGGTTTTGGGGTGTATTAAAAAAACAGTACAGTTTTTATTTTATTTATTTTTTTAGTCACATTACTTTTTTATATATTTTTTTAAAAAAAATTAAAAAATATAATATTTATTTAGATTATTTTAAATAATTCACAACTAAAAAATAATACTATATGTACTAATTAATTTATTAATTAGTGTACCAACAGATGATGTGACATAATTTTAAAAATTTTGAGTATGTATAATTTGTATAATAAATAAGGTCATTAATGATATTATAACACTAGTTGATACACTAATATATATACTAATTGATATATATAACACCTCCGTAACCAAAATTTTAAAGACAAAATTATTATTTTACTCTATGTCCTGCACAACCCACAACCCACGTATCTCATCTCAACCATGTGGGTGTTTGGAAAATGAGTTTTTTTTTTGTAGATTTTTTTAGTTGTAGGATATTATTGGAGAATTTTTTTTTTTTGTGTTTGGGAAGATAGTTAGATTTTTTTGTGGTTGGATGTGATATTTGTAAGAGAAAAAATGAAATGATTATGAGATTTGATGTGATATTTTGTCTTGATTTATTTTTTTTAATTTTGTAACTAATTTGTTTTTTAGTAAAAAAAACAAAAAAAAATCTAAAAAATTTGCTCCCAAACAATTCCTAATTCCTATGTTCATTACAACCCGCAACCCACGTACCTCATCTCAACTATAGTAAATACTTTAAAGTTTTTTTTTATTACAAAAATGTTTGAGACCCCCTTTCCCTTCCACCCCTTTGACCCCTCTTTTCTCTCATTGGTCAATTTTTCTTTTTTATTTTTTTTCTTTTCCTTCTTCTTTAATCATCACCCGCCATGTGTGTGTGGGGTGGTGGGAGTGGTGATTGGAGGGGTTTTCTATCAATGCTCTTTTTATTAAGGGGTTGTTTGAAGTGTCCTAAATAAGTGCACTTTTTGTCTTTTTAGACTAAAAAATTGAGGAAAAAAATATAGATGTTTTGGTTAACTTTTTGACTTTTTATGAAAAAATACGTATTAAAAAATTGTATAAATTAATGTGTAGGTAGTGTATAGGGAAAAATTAGAATTGAGAGTTGTGCAGTCATAATTTTTGAATTTTGATAAATAGTAATAACTTTTTAACTTTTTAAGTAATTTTTTGACTTTTTAATTTTTTTTTCTAACCTGTCAAACTTGACCTAAATGAGGTTAAAATTGCCTCTTACCTAACTTCCTAAACATTAATATATTTTAACTAACAAGATACTTTTAAGGTCAAGTTTAGCTATCTTAAATAAGTACACATTTTTTATCTTTTTATCTTTTTTTCATCACATCATCTCTCTACTTTTCTGCACATCTTTTCATAAAAAATAAAAAATATACTTATTTAGGTCATCCCAAACCATCCCTAAATATGAGCTCCACTGACAAATACAAAAGAACCTGATTGACTTATTAACGTGGCTTCTCTCCCATTGATAAAAGTGTAACGAAATTTTAGTTGAGTTTTAATAATGTGATAAAAATAAAAATAATAAAAAAAGAAACGGGTCAAAACACCATATAAGAGTAGGATTCACTCTAATTAGAGCTCATTAAAATTTTTAATTGTTTTTGTGAATAAAATCAATTAAATCATTTATGCTGTGTTTGGTTGAGGGATTTGAGGAGGGATTTAGAAAGAGAAATGAAAAATATAAGTGAAATGTGAAACAAATATACATACATTTCACATATTTTCACATACCTTTTCTCTTTTCTTTTCAAAATTTCTTCCTAAATCTTCCAACCAAACACAACATTAGTGTCCCATTGTGAGCCGTTCAAGCCTAACTTGATGGTTCAAACTATTCATTCTATAGATTTTATTGATGAAAAATTAGATTGATCTAATATTGATAAATCAAATAATATTTATCTTAAAAAATAATTGGCTTTCAAAATCGACCTTCCATTTATTTTAATAGATAAATTTTACTTTTTTTGCGTGATTTGTCATCCCGATGAGACACTCAAGATAATTTTTTGAATCATTAATATGAAATCTGAGTGCCTCAGAATTACATCATTTTGGGCACGTTATCCACAATATACTAGAGAAGATTCAAGTCTTGTTTGATTTTGGGAGATAAATTTTAAAAAAGAATTTGAGAAAAGAGTTTAATTTTTTTTTTATTTTGTTTGGTTATACATTTTGGAAATCGTTTTGGAGTATGGAAGATTGAAATGATTTGATATTTTGTTATAGTTGTGTAGATGTGTGTGAAAAAAAAAAGGTGATGAGAATGAGAGAAGAAAGAGAAAAAGTAATTGATTGATATGTAGAAAATAGAAAGTAATTTTGAAATTTTTTTTCTAAAATCATTAAATTAAACAAAATTTTAAAAAGATTTCGCTAAAATTTATTTCTTAAAACCAAGCTGCAAAGCCTCAGATTCCCTAAGATCAGTCTGAGTTAGGCCCGCAGTGGGGCTGGTGGTGGACAGTACAGTAGACAATATCATTTGTAGTCTGTTTTTATTTTGTTTTTATGATTGATTTCTACCGCAAGAAAAATTGATATCATGCGCATATGAACATGTATGCAATGAAACAGGCTTCGCGTATCTTTCAGAAATCGATGGCAAGATTCGATTTCAATTATTGTAGCAAAACAGTCCAACTGAAAGCTTCTTTCATTCCTTAAATTTCTTTTCTTTTCTTTTTAAAGTTTAAATCCATTCAAAAAATTTATGTACGATATGTCAACCCAAAAAAACAAAAAATTGTTGATGTATAAAAAATAATAATAAATAAATAATGGAAAAAATATATCAAAATTTACGGAGTTCAATAAACACAGCCTGTAAACACATATAGTGGACAAGAGTATCCTTAGGATACTCTTGATGCATGGAGTTTTAATACAAATGCCATTTAATATTAAAATAAAAAAACTTATGTGCAGGTCCTAATAGATGGACTTATTATTCAATAGATCCTATGATAATTAATGGCATTTTTCATCAAACACTATTAAAAAATATCACTTATTGTTAATTTTCAGCGATAGTTTAAAAATTGTCACAAAAATATCATTAATTATAAGTTTTAGCGACAATTCAAAAAAATTGTCACAAAAAAAAGGTCATTAATTTTTAATTTTCAGCGATAATTTGAAAAATTTGTCACAAAAAAATGTCACTCATTGTAAGTGTTAGCAACAATTTATAAAAACCGTGACAAAAAGTCACTAATTATCAATTTTTAATAACATATGCAAAAAATCGTCACAAAATTATTTTTAGCTACGATTTTATTTTTAATAGGACTTGATGGGAATTAAATCTAACTTTTAGAACGAATTGATAATTTATCCTTAAAAGGTAATATGTTCATAAGAATATTCACAAACAAGAATCAAGTATGTCACCACATTGTTAACAGGAGTTGAATACAAAAATTCTAAGTTGACTATTAATCCCAATAATGACGGGATAAAATTTCTTGATAAAATACTGAAAAAATTGAGTTTTTATTTCACTTATAAGCAATACTCATGCTATACAAATGCACATGTGATTCAATAGCATCAGATTCAACTTGTCTGATTTTGTTCAGATTCAACTTGTCTGATTTTGTTTTGGACTGAATAAATTTGGCCCATGCACTAGACCAAATTGCAATTCACATGATCCGGCTTTTGCAAAAGTCTCCCGCACAAAAAACAAAATAAAAAAAAGTCACTTTTATAAAAAAACAAAAAATGGGTCCATGCATTTTTTTTTTGATAAGCGAAAGTCAGTGATTAATTATTTAATTAGCACATTGATGGAGTTGAAACTCACACTCATACACCTTGTTAAAAAATCTCGCCCTCTCATTCCATTTCTAGGAATGGAACCAAGACCACCTCTTAAGAGAGATTTAGTGGCTAAAGGGCCAGCTAATTGAGTCCATGCATGTTTGGAAACAATTGTAGAGTGCCCATTTTTCTACTGTCGAAAGTTGAAAATATGTGATGGTTTTGGAAGCCAGTGAAACCGAATGAAAATGCACATGCCATTAATTATCGTACTAGTCTGAAACATGATTAATTTCTTGATAAAATTCTAAAAAAATTGAGTTTATATTTCACTTATAAGCAATACTCATGCTATACAAATACATATGTGATTCAATAACATCATATTCAACTTGTCTGATTTTGTTTTCGACCAGGGCGGGTCCTGAGGTTTAGGGAGCTTAAGGCGAACTTTGAAAATGGGGCCCCTCTTATATTAAAAAAAACAATTTCATGAATAAATGATAAGTTATAACTTTTTTATTTGTTTGTAGCCACAAAAAAATTTACTTGCACATATAATCATTAAAATTATAAACAAAACAATTTAATGAAACAAAATTAGGGCAAAAAAAATAGGAAAAAATTATTCAATTAAAACTGATAAAGACCTAGGTAAAAAAATTTGGGCAAAATTACTTATTCTACTAAAATCTAATAGATAAAGAAGGTTAAAAAAAAAAAATAGGGCCCATATATTGTATGTATTGTTTTTCTTGGGCCCAAACATTTTTTATATATATATATATATTTTCATTGTAATAAATATAAGCAAAAAAAACTACACTTATAAATAAGTATGGGTTAAACCATACATAGACCCAACAAAATATTTTGGGGCCCTTTAAATTGATCATAAAACCAAAAAATAAATAAATATTGAGCCTATAATATTTTACCAAATTTAAAAACCCTATTTTTAAGCCAAAATTTTGAAACCTAAGACCCAAGCCTTACTGGCCTTAGGCCAGGGCCGGTCCTGTTTTCGACTGAATAAATTTGGTCCATGCACTAGACCAAATTGCAATTCACATGATCCGGCTTTTGCAAAAGTCTCCTGCACAAAAAAAAAAAAAAAAGTAAAGAAAATGTCACTTTCATAAAAAACAAAAAATGGATCCATGAATTTATTTTTTTTATGACCGAAAGTCGGTGGTTAGTTATTTAATTAGCATATTGAGAGAGTTAAAACTCACACCGATACAGCTTGTAAGAAAATCTCGCCCTCCCATTCCAATTCTAGGAATGGAACCAAGACCTCCTCTAAAGAGAGATTTGGTGGCCAAAGGACTAGCTAATTGAGTCCATGCACGTTTGGAAACAATTGTAGAGTGCCCATTTTTCTACGGTCGAAAGTTGAAAATATATGACGGTTTTGGAAGCCAGTAAAACCGAATGAAAATGCACATGCCATAAATTATCGTACTAGTCTGAAACATCATTAGTCGGAAACATCACAAATTTATGTGTCTGATCAATGACATTTTGTGATTTATCTAGTTATTATTTCTATATTGTTTTGTTCATGTAACTACTTAAATAAAGAAATTCCTACCATTGTGTAACAAGATTTAAATATTAACCATTACATAACTGAATTTTAGACTTCTGATACCATTATTCACTAATATATGGGAGCTGTTAGAATGTGCACGTGATTAAATTGTGCACATCATATATGCCTGACTTTTAAACCATTAGATATATATAAATTAATCTGAACCATTAAATAATTTTATTAGAAAAATTGAATACCTGTTGAACTGGTTTTTCTTTTTTCTTTACTGCTTGTTCTCATCCCACAAAGCCTCACGCTGTTTTGGTCCGAAACCTTCATTCTTTCAGACAAAACTCCGGCGATCTTCTTCACCCTAGAAGACCATCCCATGAAGTGCAACTCCAGCGATCTGTTTTGCCCCTGTTTTACTGATTGTTCCATCTATATTCTCTGCATCTGAAAATTTTTGCATAACCCATGAATAAGAATATTGTAATTGTATGCATCATGAAGTAGTCCATACTTAAACATCATACAAAAGAAAGATTTTGCAACATCTACGTAACCCATTTTACAGAACCTTGACATGAGAGTATTGAATGAAGCAACACAGAGCCCAAAATGCTTCCCTTCATTCTCTTGCAGGAAGGCTACTGCTTCTTGTAGCAATGATTGTCTGCATAGACCATCTATTAGAATTGAATTGGTGTGTTCACTCTGAGGAGTCCCACTAGCTTTGATTTCATCATATACATCCCACATGATACTAGTGTGCCTTGTTATGATTATGATTCATTAGTAAAAGTTATGATTTGTACTACCAAAAGTTATGATTTGTCATGGTGAATTATAATAAAAAATGTTACGATTCAAATGTTATGATAATTTGTTAACAATAACTACAGTTGTTATTAGTCGCTGCCATATTGTTACGATTGATAGTGTCTTTGTTATGATATCGTAGTGTATATTATGACATTGTTATGATTTATTGTAATATTGTTATGAGATTTCAAAAAAGTTATGATTCTTTTATATAACCTATTAGATGACCGGTTTAGCAAGTCATTTTTTATGATGTGGCACTATATGGACCATACAATAAGTGCATATCATATGCTCTTTTAGAAGGTGCACATTGTAAACTTTCCCCTAATATATAAGACAATACTTTCGGCTATCGATTGATATATCTCGATACCATGTTTGCAAATTTAATCTGGAGGGCTGTACCAATGGCTGTCATGTGGTCATTATGGAAGCTTAGGAATGAGGTGGTATTCAATGGAAAGCAAGTGCATCTGGAGGAGGTATGCTATTTGATCAAGTTTAGAATTGCCATTTGTGTAAAAGCTCATTCAAAAGGTTGTTGTTGCGCTGTGCTTGAGATTATCAATAATGTTCAGCAGATTAGATGCAGTACTTAGCTAATCAGGTTCAACAAATTATGGGGAAATGCTTACTTACTCTGTCATTTCTGTGGTTCAATGGATTTGATCTTTCGGGGAGCTTCATTGGTGGTCTGTTGGTCTGAGGGCTTCAAGGCAGTGCTGATCTGGTTTTACTGGTTGATCTGGTGCTGATATGGATGGGAATGGGGCTGCTTTGGGGGTTGGAGGGTAGTGCCCTGTTTTGGGGGGTTGGTGGGTAGTGTCCTGTTCTTGTTCTTGGTGTTTTTTTCTCCTTTGGTTGGTTCCTCACCAGCTACTTGGTTTGGGCTCTGTATGGTGGTGCTATCACCTCTATATGGTACTGCTCTCACCTCTTTTATTGAGGTAAATTCATATCCTTTGTGTGGCTTCCATCAATAAAAATTTTCTTTTGCTGATAAAAAAATTTTCACCATACCATGTTAGTGTTTGGAAAAGAGTGAATAATCAGTTATATATGAGGGATCAAGTGTACTTTCTGTGATTTGCAATGGTTGGATTAGTGGATTGATAATAGAGGCAAGGATAACGCTACATTCAGTGGCGGAGCCAGGAAACTAAATCAGAAGGGGCACTTATTGATTACAACATTAATTTTTTTTTCCATAACCAACAATAAGAAGAAAATAATAATTTTTGAATTAATATTAAGTACAAAAACTTAAATAAATTATTACAAAAATATTTCACATAAAATTTTATAATTAATTTCGAGTAAAATCGAAAAGAAAATATTGCGTGTAACTAATGTATCATGGAAAATATAAAAAAGTCATATATTTAAGTCTTAAAATAAATTATATAATGGTAAGATAAATCAAATTTATACGAAATTTGAGTAAAAATTTCATATAATAGTGATATCACGTCATTATTGACATATGATATCACCAGCCAATTTTAAAACAACATATAAAGAGTGAACTTCACATGCAAATATAACTAACACTCTAATAATTTTTACATATATATAGTGAGATTAATTATATATACATATCAATAATGATGGATATTACCTTTATATTGAGATTTTTTCACAAAATTTTCACGCATAAAAATATAATTTGTTGCACAGTCACTTCATTTTCAATAAAACAATCATACTGTTTTCATAAATTTAAAAATGCCCTTGACATTTTATTCTAAATATTATTTTTGTTTAAAATTTTATTTATATACATATGTAAAAAATAAAAAAAATAATCTAGGAGGTGCACGTGACCCCCCGGTCACCCTGTGGCTCTACCACTGGCTACATCACATATGGGTTTGAATTTTCCGGGAAAGTTGTGGTTTTGTGGTTGGATAAAATGCACGTATACTGTTTTTTATTTTTTATTTTTATGATCGGGTGTCCGAGTTAGCTTACATGCACTTTGATTATTTTTTAGACCCATACAAACCATCCTCGTCACGTGGATTGGCAAATCTCTGGCAGAACCTGCGAATGTAGTCCCTAGAAACAGATTGTTCCTAATAGGAGTTGAATTTGAGACGTAGAGGGAACACACTCCTACACCCTAAGTTGCACCTAGTAAGCAACCCCTTGGGATTGAATGCATGTATACTGTGTTGTGGGTCGGTATGAAAAGTTGCATTTATAAGTGAGATTGGGAGTGTGAGATTTAGGAAGAGCTGCTCCAACAATTTCATGGGCATATTAAAAGTCTTGTAGGTTAAATAATAAATAATACATAACACAAAGAGACTCTGGAGTAGTAGTACGTAGGAGGTTAAATAATAAATAGTACATAACACAAAGAGACTCATGAGCTGCTCCAACAATTTCATGGGCATATTAAACTAACATAATGTTAGTTTGAGCCTTGTGTGGTTAAGGCGGTGGTTCTTCTCTTTTGCTCTTTGGCTTGTAAAGCCTCTTGAGCCACCATTCTAAGCTTTTGTAACATCCTTTGTTTGGCCTTTTTACCACTGAAACTCAGAGGTATTTCAGTGGTGAAAAGTTGGTTTTGAGGCTCAAAATAGGAGGGGGGGTAATCCCCTCTCCTTGTATCTTGTTTGCTTGTGTTGATGGCCTCATACTTGAGCATGCTTTTCTACTCTTTTGTGACTTAGTTCAAGCATGTTTTTGGCTTTGTGTTGACATGCTTTAACTCTGTTTTTGGGTGTTTGGGCCATCTCTTGCTTGCTTTTGGTACTTGTAGTGCAATTGTGCTTGTTGGCCTAACATGCTTCATGCTTTAGCCTATCATTCTAGCATGTGTTAGTCTAACTTCAGCATGCTTTTACCACTGATTTTGCATGCTTTAACTCAGTGTTGAGTGGTCTTGGCCATTTGAGGCTTGTTGTGCATGGTTGTAGTGTAAAGGCCCTTGACTAGCTTTGAGTTTCAAAGTCTCTAGTATGCTTTGCTTTAGTTGTTTGCATGCCTTAGTCTCATTTCTGACGTGACTTTAGTGCATATAGCATAGTCACATTCTCACATATTCCACTCTTTCATAGTTTTTGTGAGTTGTACCTTATGCCTTGTTTGTGAGCCAATACTTGAGCATGATTTTATTGCCTCATGGACTTCAATCTCAGCATGTTTTGGCCTTTATTTTGACATGTTTGAGCTCTGTCCAGAGCTAGTTTGGCTGTTTGAGTTTGATATTGCATGATGCTAGTGTAAAGCTCTTCACTAGTTTTAATGCTTAAAGTGTCTAACATGTTGTACATAAGTTGTTTGCATGTTAGAGTCTTGTGTTTCATGCCATTTCAGCATTGAAATTCTGCCACCTCCCTCCTTTCTTCATCTTTTCATTTGTTTTGAGGATTGGTTAGTCTTGAGGTTGTGTTTAATGCTCAGGATTGAGGCTTATGCTTAAATGGCTTTAACCCTCTTTTGAGGGTTCCTCCTAGTCAAAAGCATGGTCTCTCCTATGCTTTAAACCATTCTTTTGGTTGACCTTTTTCTCATTAGAGGACCTTCACATTTGGACAAATCAATTAAGGAATGGTTTGGTAACTTAAAATGTGTAAACAAGAATTGAGCTAAGTAAAACATGCCAAGATAAGCATTGTTGTTTGCATTGCATTGTGTTCAATCGGGCGTTATATTGAACACAAGGAAGATTGGTTCATTTCATACTTGAAGTGATGAAAATGAGCCAATTCCCTTTGTCACCATTGCCTTTGATCTTCCATGATAAGGTAGTGGTCCTAGAGTCTTGTTTGCCTTGTATTCATTGAATTTGTGCAAGTTGTATCCTTGGCCATCATGCATTGCATGCTTGATTGATGGCTTTGGATCCAATGGTAACTCTCATTTGATGTTTAGAGATGATAAGGAGTGGTACAGTACACACATGTTCTTGGGAGACCCTTCATTTTTCTCTGTTTTGTGCTCTGCTGCAGTTTGGTGTCACAGTACACTAGTGGCCGGCAATGCCACACTGATGGCTGGCACCCTTTCATTGTTGGTAGGCAAAGGCCCACTCTTGGCCGACAGATGGCCGGCAGCCACCATTCATGGCCGGTAGGCCACTGGTGCATTCCCCAGAATTGTTTTGGTAAGTTTGTGTAGTAAGTTCTTAAAGACACCCTGTAAACAGAGCCTCTTAAGAGCAAACCGGAAGGTGTTTCGAGGCGAAAACCGAGCATGCATCTTCTACTTCTTCGAACAGAGCTGAGGCAGCATAGTTTAAAGCTTTACTTGTTAGTTAGCTTGAATTTGTAATTTAATTAATTAATTTGTTAATTAGTTAATTGTTGTAATAATTAGTAAGCAGTTTACTAGTTATTCAATTTGGCTGTGTAATAATTAGTCTAATTAGTTTAATTAGATTAGTTTGATTAGCTTAGATTAGATTAGTTTGATTAGCTTAGCTTAGATTAACTTAGCTTATTCATTCGGACCCTCCGTCGAGAGGGCGCAATGTTGTAATAAGTGTGCGTGTGTGTGTGCATGTCTTCCAACCCCATTTCTTTCTCTTTTTTATTTATCCACTTACGATGGTTAGATTAGGGCATGTTTTGATTAGCATACCTTATGCTTTGTATGCGTGCATCATTCATTTGTCTTGCATGCACCAGGCTCGGCGCATCATTCAAACTGCATCGTATTTCAATACTTCTTTGAATACATGTATCAAGTGTTACATTCATATGCCATCTTTGATAGCCGAGTCTATTTAGTTGCATTTTTTCATGTGTTGCATTAGGCAACTGTAGACACCCCATTTTTGACCGACCTTAAGACTCAAACGTCATCGATTGAGCGCTCGGTGATCGCGTATGTTATGCTCGTTTCGAGGTTTCGGAGTTCTTGGCTGAGAGCCTCACCTCCGGACCTTGGGACCCTTTCTACTTTAACTCGATCCGCGGACCGAGTTTTGTTTTC